TATGTAAAAACCTGAACATGTAAATTTTTTTGGTTCCATAAAACACTGTGCGGCGTAGTAATAGCTGTGGATCGTAAGTTGCGCCCGACACATCGGGCGGACGTGCGTGCGTCTCCGCCAGCCGAAGAGGTATGGCTCTCAGTGCCACTGCACACGGATGCCCGGTCTGCCTCGATCGCTTCACGTCAATTGCATATAATCTGCACTTATATAGCACACAGTGCTAATCACGAGTGATTGTTATGTACTATCTATGACAGAGTGAGCGAATTCATCATTCATAATCCAGATGACATATTTTTGGTATTATGGGACTTCAATGTATCTTACGCCCATTGGTTTAAGAATAATAATTCTATGGATTTATTCACAAATAATAATAACTTAGCCTGTCTCACAGCAGATTTTATGAACATTTCTGCCCTGTTACAATTTAATTCACAGTTTAATAGGAACAATAGGATACTGGATTTAGTTTTTTGCAATGTTCAGTGTATGGTTTCTTCCTGTAATCATCCTCTAGTACCAGAGGACCCGCACCATAAGTCTTTGGAAATCTGCATTAAGTTAAATGTATCTCCGCCGCTTAATTTCTCAAAAAATATTAAATTACAGTTTCATAAAGCCGACTTCGATTCTATTAAATCAGCCTTGGAATCTGTTGACTGGGAGGATACTTTAAATAGTTTGATTAACGTGGATAATATGGTAAGTCATTTTTATAATTTTATTGACAATTTAATCAGTAAACATGTACCCAGAAGTAAATTAAATTTAAAGCAAAAATATCCCCCTTGGTATACTGTTCCTCTTATTAAATTAAGCAAAGAAAAAGCCAAATTCCACAAAAAATGGAAAAAATATGGCAATCATTATGATTATCACATTTTTTCCAAATTAAGGGCTCGCTTTAAGAAAATGAATGAATGCTGTCATAACCAATACATAGAATTCTCAGAAAAAAATATTAATACAGATCCTAAGTTATCCTGGTCCTTCGTCAAGTCAAAAAAGGCCACGGGTGATATTCCATCTAAAATGTGGTACAATGATAAGTTACTCTCTACTGGCACTGAGATATACGAGGCATTTAATCAGTATTTTCACTCTGTTTTTATTACCTCCAACTCTTGCCAACCAATACATGATTGTAGTTATAGCGTTCAGACAAATCTTGATATTAAGTCAGTTGAAGTCAATTCATCTCGTGTATTTACAGAACTAAATTAATTAAACATAAACAAAGGTGCTGGTTCTGACAGTATTCACCCAATTTTCATCCGTCGCTGCGCTAGAGAACTCACCAAACCTCTGACTATAATTTATAAAACATCTTTGGAGACTGGTGTCTTTCCTACTAAATTGAAGTCTGCTTTGGTGACCCCAATCCCAAAGAATAATAATAAAGATATTGTAACTGAATATCGGCCCATCTCTAAACTCTGTATCTTAGGTAAAATTTTAGAGAAAATCGTAACTGAAGGTATTGCCCAGGCGGCTCGCAGCTTTATCTCCCCCCATCAGCATGGCTTTTACAGGCTGCGGAGCGTTGATAGTAACATGGTAACTTATACAGACTACCTTGCACAGGCTATGGATAAAAATCTTCAAGTGGACGTAGTGTATACTGACTTTTCGAAGGCGTTCGATAAAATTAATCATAATAAGCTTTTAGCAGCCGGCATACATGGTAATCTACTAAGATGGATACAGTCCTACATTCAGAATCGAAGCCAGTCAGTTTGCATCAAGGGATTCTCGTCACAGTTCCTCCCAATACCATCAGGCATTCCACAGGGCTCACATATAGGCCCTCCGTTATTTTCCTTTTATATAAATGACATTGGCCACGTCTTTAACCACAGTCATCATCTACTTTATGCAGACGATACTAAAATATTTAGGATTGTGGAATCTGAAGATGATGCTATTAAATTGCAAGCAGACCTGAAATCTTTAAGTAAATACTGCAAAAATAACCAATTATTTCTAAACATTGACAAATGCTACGTTATATCTTACACTCGTAAGAAGAACCAAATTAATTTTAATTATTATATAAATGGCAAACCTCTGAAAAGGATGGACCGTATAAGAGATTTAGGAATAATGATGGACTCAAAGTTATCCTTTAATTATCACATTGATTGCATTGTGGCCGCTGCATATAAGAGATTGGGCTTCATTCTTAGAGTAAGTAAACCAATTAGAAATACAAAAACACTCATAACCCTGTATTTTGCCTTTGTTCGCTCTGTTCTTGAGTTTGGTAGCACTGTTTGGAACCCCTGTTATAATGTCCACATCAACAGACTTGAAAGAGTTCAAAAAAAGTTCTTAAGATCTCTAAATTATCGTAATAATTTTGTAAATAATACATACGAAAAATCCTTAGAAGTCTATAAGATGACCACACTGCTTAATCGCCGAAAAATCTGTGACATTACTTTTCTTTATAAAATACTGAACTCGCTTATAGATTCGTCCGCACTCCTTGAAAATATTCGATTTCCATGTCTAGTTCGACTTCCCATGCGCTCCTCACGTACACTACCGCTGTTTGTTCCACCGAAACGTCAAAAAATATATACGAGAAACACATTCTTTTATCGTTTCACCAACACGTACAACGAGGAATTCACTAAATTTGATCTCTTTAATATGTCTCTTGCTACATTTAAAAGTAAACTTAATGTAAAACTTTCAGGAGAGGCTTGAAATAAAAATAAAGTGCGTACCTATGTATATATATGTATATATGCATATGATATAAATATTTCGTCATACATTAGTGTACTGTAATAGTTTAATTTTGGATTTTCATTAGCTGACCATGTCCTAACTTCAGAACTGTTTTAATATTGTGTTTAGGCACTGTTAGGTCTATTTCATAAAAAAATGTTTAACATAAGTTACTTTTGTAAAATATATGACTGTTTGTTGCCAAAATAAAAGAAAAAAACAAAAAATATCCACTTCCTCGGGCCTTTCTTTGTCGGGCAGTATACCTGTGTAACCTTCAGCGAATACCCTTTGGTGATTCTGAGTATAAGGTACCCCACCATCCTATTAGACCCAGTCCGATCTGTACAACGTTGTTTACGAGAGACTTGTTCAGTCTAGGCTGTTACAAGCACTTGTGATTATCGAAAAGCTACGTCATCGGTTCGCAAATCTACGGCGGGAGAACTTATACTGAGAAGAAGCGGCAAAAAACTCGGCAAGGGCTGATTTTCCTGTATTTTATACAGAGTCGTCAAATTGACGTATTGTTCACGAAAAACCAGACATCACCTTGAAACTTATCTTCACCCTCCCGGAAATAGATCAGGTTGCCAGACTTATGGATCATCGTGTCGACACCTCTCGTTGGACTTCGAAAAATCTTAATACCAACGTATCCTACTGAACTCTTCCTCCAGTTCCAGTAGCTTCCTCATTCCGCAGTGTGCGTGCATTAAAAGTGGCCAGGACCAGTAGTACGGAGTCTAGTCGTCACCCGGGGATTCTTGGCACCCCTGGTTCCGGCGCTTCGCCAACATCCGTCATCGCTGGCACGGTCTCCGCCACCACCTGGCACTTGGGGTCTTGCTGTCGTAGTATTTATTAGGGGGTGTTTGAGGAGTCTCTCACCCCGCTGGGTCAAAGCGGGAATAGTAGGGTTCACTTTCGCATGTGGGTGAGATTGGCTTGGATCTCGTGAGGTGTGTATCGGGACCCTTATACCCAAAAATATACATTGCTATGGTAAAAGATCTCAGAAACAGATGCAAAAACGTCAATCATTAACGATTACCGAGATACGTGGCGATTTCATTTTCTGAGAAAATTTTCTATAGCAATGTTTTTTTTTAATGTATATCATCAGAAAGTAGAGGTCCAACGAACCTAAAGCGCACCAATATTTTTTAAAAGCAACTTCTTTGATGTGAGATTTTTCGGTTTCGAAAAAAGGTTACTTTTTCGATGTAATATCAAATAAGGAGTAAAAATAACTATTTTAATCAAATAAATGAGTGCATCTTTGGAATATAAAAAGGAAGGTTTTTTACCAAATTTAGTGAGCAATAAATATTTTTTTGTGGGAGATCATAATAATGTTTGGACCATGTATAATAAGTACAATTTATAGATCTTTTAATTACCTATAGTGCCATTAAAAATTTTGTTGTTGTTGTTTTCCCGAAAATCACGATAAAACATCCCCCCCCCCCTTTACCATTCTCAAATTATCCATAAATTAGTTTTTCATTTTTTTTAACTGTGTTTTCTTCCTTTTGTAATGGGTTTCATCCTGTTCAGAATTATTTCCTGCTCAAAAATTATTATCGGCCTTGGCATATCTGTATTATTTTCTCTACATTTCAATAAGTGATACCAAATAGGTTCGCTTGACGATTATGTTAACCTAAAACTAACGATCCACTCGGATACGTCTATTAAGTTATATGTTTCATTAACAATAAGATGGCGTGACTTTATAATAATGATGTTAACTAACCAGATTTTATAGATATAAAAAATTATATTAATATCATATAAAATTCATTGCACTTAACTTATTATCGAGTTATTAAAATTTTGTTTTTTATTTACAAAATAAGGAAATAAAACTAGCGACAAAAGCTCTGACCGTACAGATGTAGGAAACTATAACACAAAAAAAAATCTAACACTAACACAAAATAATATCTAGCAGTTAAATGCTTAAAAAAATAAAACTAAAACATTTGTGCATATAGGCACTATGTTTACACATCCTGTAATTGCCGCACTTCTGTACAGTACTGTGGTGTTTTCAATAAAGAATTATGTATTGTATCTTTTGTATTGTATATATAAAAAACAAACAGGATTAATTTAATATGACCTGTAATCAACAAGTAAGTAACTACATTTTACTTTAGTTCAGTTTTCGAAAAAATCATTGCCATCAGTAAATCTGATTCAAAGCGACTTTAAACGATACTTATACTATTTAATCAGACTTATTAACTTACGGTCCATCCTCCATCAGCGACGTTCTGCTCGCAGTAGACTTTGAGGAACCAGTAGGTGGTGCCCCTGATCTGAAGGTAGTAGACGCCTGACTCCCTCATGCCAGCGTTCAGGAGGTCCACGCACGAGTAGCCCTGGAAACGTACTCCGTTGTTAACCATCGGTCTATAATACAAAAAACTAATTTAATGTGCATCAAAACACAAAACAAAAATACTCCATTCGCAAAAAACAGGCTAAATGAAAAAACAGGTAAATATAGTGACGGGTTCATAGGGTAACTTTTCTCTTTATAACCCAACCGTAATTCGACATATCTCTCGATTTTATCACGCTGAATTGTCAAATTATTATGGAGTTCGACAGTTAATAAACGTGACATAATGTGAATAGTGGTGCTCATACTACGGGGACTAGGCCAATAATTTGGAGAGAGCAAAAACATTCGGAACAGGATGAAACCCGTACCAAATCGAGAGAACACATTGGCCCTAGTCTACAATCGTCGTTTGTATATTATTAAATTTCCCAACTTTACATCGCTACACTACAGCATGAGCGAGAGCGTAGGTCTTAATTTATAATAATTATTAAACAAATGTCATGTAAACATACATACTTATTAAAAAAGGGCATTTATAGGTGGAACTTTAAAGAGACTTCTCCAATGTTCGGTCATACAATCAAAATTTACTATATCATGCTCCTTCATGCGTCGATAGGAATGTTAAGGTTTGGTCACTGCAGTCGTTAGCACCCACTAACATGCAACTGGCCCCGTACAACCGCCCTGGCTCGCAACAGTAGGGACATTTATCGACCGATGATGACGCTGATGAAGACGAAACCATAGTGCAAACTGAATTGTGGATTTATAAGCAACATAATATTTAAAATAAAACACAAAATATAATTATGTACATCTCTCTCCCATCGTTTTCGAGGGCTTTTGTCGACTGATAGTCCAAGATCCCGAAACTCGAGTCTGCTAACAAACATTGTTTTTTGAATTCTTTCATCATTTTCTTTCAAATATTTTAAAATTTATTCGAAAACATATGGAGTCAATTCACATTCTCAGAAATCGGGTGGCGGCATCTTGGATTATTATGAGAAAACCGGAAATCTTAAGGCACTGCGTTAAATATAATAAAAAAGATACAGACAAAAGTTGCCCGACTGCAAAAACACCGTTGTAACCTTTAAGGGTTAAAATTTGCGTATCATCTGCTAATCTCTGACATAATTTCCCAATCGTTCATTTTATTTCAATTTTATATCGATTGATAAGATATAAGATTCTTAGTTTAAGAGAATTAGGGTATTAATTCATAAGTCACCCCATAAAGGTTCTTTTAAAATTGACATTCACATTTTAATAGTATCAATATAGCTTTCTACTAATAATTCATACTAACATTTATGATGTTATAATTAATAGCAAATAGAATTAATAAAATACATTATATTTAGGTTAAAGAAGGGCAACGTAAGCAATATTTTATTTAGATGCCTAATGTACTGTTTCTTAAGGATAATGCTGTTTAAGTTTTAAATATAGATAAATAATCGTGCAATCATATAACTCGATAGTGGGAAGGCAAAGTCGCTTATACGTCACTTTGGCCGAAAATGAGTTATATATATCATTGTAATAAGCTTTTTTTCGGCGACGATCTGTTTATGTTTCGTAAAGATATGAGCACTTTTTTGTCGCTTACGCAACAAATTTTTCTTTAGTTCATAACGCTGGATCGACATAAATTTGGTGTTTTGAACCAATGCCGCTTACGCCCTTCTACTTGGCGTATGATTTGATGTTTGCTTGACTAGAAATGTATGGTGGGCCAAGTGATTTTCGCTTAAGCGACATCTAATTCTTAAGGACAAGGCGGTATGTAATTTTTAATAGAAGGATAATAAATATCTGAATATGTTTTATTTGCATGACTGCTTATTTACAATGAGTTGATTTTTTTTTATAAAAAAAACTTTGCCCCTTGTTTCTTTAAATATATTAAAGTGGCGTTTAAGCGATTTCTTTTTTCTATGTCGATTTCATAAATGAACGTCGCGTAAATTGACGTCATATTCGCTTAAAAAGACAATCCAATGCAAGTTAATGATACTTCAACTTAAGTGGTGCCTTTCATTCGCATTGTTGTATTAGCATTATGATTTAAGACTTTTCCAATTCTTTATACTTCCTCGTGATGTATTACTATGTGATTTTAACAAAAAGTAGTTATAGCAATAGCTAAATTAGTCTTTTTACTGACTGGGCTCTTATGTCCCGCTATGTTCACAAGAAAGAAGATAATAATTATTCATTTTGCTAAGACTTCTTGCGCAATTGTCGTGGTTGTAACTCAGTTTGTAAAAGAGTGTCCGAAAGATGTTTAATTAGAAAGTTTCTAAATACTTTTGATGCTACAACTTTGAAAATAATATTTGAAAACATCAATCCTTTGACACGCGTTCACAGTGAAATAGGACTGACGAAGGTACCCTGTCTAGAAGTCCATATTGTAAACAACATAAAAAAGCATGTTTTCAAAATACAATTCAGTGCAGTGATATAACCCATAAAATCTTGGGGTCATGAAATACGGGTTTTACGTTTTAGGACCAGTTCTTCATTGGTCTTTTTGCAGTTATGATTTCTTCTGGGTTCGACCGCTTCTTATAAAGCCTAGTTCCTGTATGGGCCGTTTTTGCTTTTGACCTTTTCCTTATTTGACTACCTTTAAATACAAGCTTGCTTACTTCCAATACTCCAGTCCCCCACTTTTTTGAGTTGAAATATAGGTACACTTTCATTGAATAAAACTTAGTGGTCTTATAACTATTGTGGTCATAAGTATAAATGTATTATAAAAAAAAATGTGTACATTTAAATCTTGTAGGGTTTGGTCTGCTATGTTCCACATTCCTCTCAAACAATTTCCAAAGAATTTTAAACGTTCTATTTTATATCACATGGTAATGAATGCCATTACCATGTAATATAAAATAGAACTCTTCTGTACACCTTGATTTTATTAGTTTGAATAATGTTTAGAATTAGATCGAAGAAAATAATAAGTATACAAATATACATATACTACTCTTCTTCAATTTGTTAAAATCATTGTCCCTGTAGACTTAATGAATCTCCGTTTTTTACTTTCATGTGTTTGTTACAGTGTGGGTAGTAGACTGAATAAACGATATCAAAGTTTGAAAGTTAGCTATTGATTGCTATATAATTTTAAGTTTCCTATTATTACTAAAATACGGTGGAAGTCTTTCTCTACTGCTTGTGGCAAAGCATAATTTTCAAAGTAACCGTTTATCAATAAAGGTAAACGTTCTGTGGTAATGTAATTTACGACCCCTTTTTGTTGAATAACAGTTACTGTTGACGGGGAAAGGAAAGTCGTGTAGGTATCTATCCATATATATTAATCATTATAAAGATATTATGTTTCATTGTCGCGACCCATCAATCTTTTGATTATAGACGATTTGTGCTGCTCCAGAATTGTACTCAAATGTCACTACAGTTCGAAGTCACTCCTACGTTATAAAATATTCATTGACAACTTCCTAACAAAGATTAGAAGTTACCAAAGAAAATGTTCAGATATATATTTATATACTTTTCTTAAGTATATAAATATCTGACCTTTTTTATACACCGTGTTTTTTGAGTTACCTGATAAACTTAAAAATCATATAAATAAAAGCAGTGGGAATAGTTATCAACAATAAACGCACTACACCCCCATACAAAAATATTGATTCATATCGATTATGTCATATATATTATGGAATTATTATGTGTTTAAAGTACAAAGATCTTAAAAGTAGATTTATTTGAAATCACTTTATGACAGTAAAAGTTGTTAAGGTTTCATATTTGCACAATTAGAGAGTGAACGTGGAGATATTTTTGGAAAAAAATATTTTTTTTTCGTAATATAACCTAGATCGTTTTCTGAATTAGCCAGTAAAGTTTCTCGGTATGTTATTCAAAATTCCCGCTGTTATAGTGCACGAATAAAGTTTTCAGCTTTTAATACTGAAACCATACTTTCTATAACATCAAAATGTCACTGGTTTCCTTCCTTATTAAATAAATTGATTTCATGGATTGAGTAATTCAAAGAGATTGTGTGCATTGATTCCAGCAGCACCTGCGGGAGAGACGTGCCGTAATCGGATTGCATCATCACTCGACTAACTGTCGTCGGTTCTCGTACGTCGAAACAATAAACACACTAACCGTAATTGTCAATCTGTGGGAACGGCCGGTTTTTACTTGCACGCTTGCAGTCGCGGAAAGCACGAGGTTTGAACTAGATTTACGTAATACTTAGCTTCAATGCAACTTTCTTTGTGAGAAACTCTCGGTGGTTTTAAAACTGAAGCTTGTGTTTCCATGCATCCCTGCGAATTAAATGAATGGACAAACATGGGACAGTCGGTATTAAGCTACAAACAGGTTTCCAGTCAAACTGGTTATTACACAATCTGTCGATTGTAAACATTTCTACGAGACATCCAATAACTGTCGCAATGACCGCAAACCTTTTCTCACTCTTTCTTGACTAACCGTCTTATATATTTTCCTTTTTTCCTTCAAAAATTACGAAACATAGTTACTAGACAATTAGATAGACAAACTTTGTAACTAAAAAATGCTTTACGTAAAGAAAGTGTAAATGTTATCAATACGAACATGTTAATATGATCAGTATTCATTATTTATTCCTAAATATTTATTTATTATTCTAAATTATCTTTTAGAGAAGTATCGTTAGCTAGAAAGTATCATACGTAAGTAGGTAATAGGTATACACCCCGGCAAACTTCTTAAGCACCGAACATAGACAAGGAAGCCTGCGCTGTAGCAATTTACATACAGAAGCATCTACTGCGCAAGTTTATTTCTCCGTCTGTGTGTTTTCCACAAGAAATTTCCCGCAACACATATGGTTACTTTTTGTACTTATTTCGGGTTATATTTGTTTCTTATGTTTTTTACGCACATCACTCATTAAATAAAACAGTTTTACTGGTTATATGCACTGAATTTATTTATTTATTGACGTTTCGCACCCTTTTCAGGAGTGCATCATTGGATTGATAATAATTACTACAATAATGATTTTTATTTCCTTTTAAAGATAATAAGATTTTTATTTTCTTTTAAATAAATAAATGCAGTGCATATTACCCGTAGAAACTGTTTTATTTATTTCGGGTAAGATTCATTGTCCTCTTTTAACATTCTCTTGTAGGTTATCTTAATTGCATGTGATAATATTGTGTAGGTTTTCTTACAGAGTATTATAAATTAAGGTTCCTTATTACCTTACCTGACGTAAAAGCCGTGCATTGCAACCTATAAGTTAAACGCGTAAGTATGTTTTGCCTGTTATACACTTCTAGTGAGGCAGTGGTTGTTTAAGATTCCGGCTTTTGCTATGCAACAGAATTAGACCTAGATTTTAACATGATTTAAAATTGGTACGTACTTAAAGACATATGCGTCTTAACTTCATTATTTATTTAGAAGTAAAATATATTTTATTGAATTTTTGAATATTAGGTATATTACAGATATTTTTATAAGCGTAGGTACGATTTGGTAGAAATTTAGTCAAAATTTGAGAGAGAATTTATGATGATTGTGTGAAGTCGTGAATAATTTGTATGCTGATTGTTATATTTTTTGAGCTTGCTCTCTTAAAGACTCGGAATCATTAGAGATAATCCTCATAGTTCGCTATAATCCTGCTAATATTGTAAATGTGAAAGTTTGTGTTTTTGTTACTCAAACTCAATCCAAACTATTGAACGGAACTTTGGTACGCATATAGTTTATGAGTTGGATTGAGACACAAAAAACTTATTCCACTAGAAAAAATCTTAGGTTCCTGTGGGATTCTCAAAAAACTAAAGAAAACGCGGACAAGGTCGCGGGCGGCCTCTAGTTTAGTTTATAAACTCGCTTGGTGCTAAGAGCCTTAGCTACTTGATTCGCTCAGTGACTACCATAATCTAAGCGCGAAGCAATTTTTATTGAATCAGTTATATTCATGGGTAATCTCAGATAAATATCATTAGCAACTGCAGCATCATTAGTAAAAAAATGTTATGTAAGTTATTTAATTCGCAAACAAAGAATGTTCTTATTGTTGATTTAATTAACTTTAACTCACTTTCACGTCTTTATAGTTGGCGACGATCTCCGATGCGAACGTATTGTTGCCGATGATGGGTTTGTTCTTGACGCTGGGGAAGATGATGCCGCCCTTGCGGCTAGCCGGGCGCGTGGAGGAGGCATTCACCGGCGTCACTGTTACGGTCGCGCTCGGGCTCGACCCGCTCGGACTGCGTGCGACACAACCATTAGTCACCGGCTACACCTAGCACTTGCATTCAAAATCTCAAACAGTACATTCGCAACAGACAAAAGAACATCGCATGCCAGAAACTCGCTAACGCAGGGTAGGTAAAGATAGATGTCACCTGTTAGTGAGTGTCGAAGAGGCCGGCGTTGTCGTGGCAGCCACTGTGCTCGTGCTGGGATCCGTCGACGGCTCGTCTACGCGGTATCGGGTCGGGGCGTATTCTACCAATCGGTCGATCGTGGGGTCTAATAGCAGCTCGGCGGGAACCGGACGTTGAGCAAGCGTAGCTACGTCGTCTTCCTGTTTCTTTAGCCTCTTTTCGACCATATCCAAATTTTCTATAATTAAGTTCGTCTTCAGACGCAAATCGTTATGAATTTGTCCAATAGCGCGCTCCTGCCTCTGCGTTTGTGTTAGCAACTCGTCCGATTTTGGTACTAAATCGTCGACGGAGCTTTTTGTCCCAACGACTACGTCCCACACTTCATCCATTTTTTCCGAAACGCTCATCATAGGAATGATCTTGTTTACGAGCGTATCTATCTTGCTGGCCTTCGCCACGGGTGATTGCGTACTCGTAGTTGTACGATTTTTAAACAGACTGTTGACATTAATCGACGCAGCTTCGGGCTCGACAATCGCGGCATGAACGTCCGCCATCATATAAAGTACTTTGCCCAAGTTTTCGGAAACCAGATTAATGTGAAATTGCAATTTACGGTCGACTGTCGACATCGACGTTCTCAGTTGGTCCACTTCTTTCGTAATTTCGTTAACTATCTCAGAATTCAATCCTTTTGCGATTTCTATAACATTAAGATTAATAGGTTTCTTTTCACTCGCCTCTGCATTGATGTCGTCTACTGGCAAGAAGTTATTGTCTATTTGATTTTTTAGGCCTACTAGTTTTGTGTCTATATCGGATACTTTTTGATCAAGAGATTCAAGTTTCTTATCAAGTAAATTGGGATTGGGATCCTGTGCTCGAGTAGCAGAGTTTTCAGTGTAGTTTTCATCTTGATCTTGCCCGATGTGACTAAAAAGTTTCAGATCTAGATTGCCTAGTTTTGATATAATGGCGTCTGTTTTGTGAATATTGTCATTAACCCTAGAGTCAAGAGCTTCCACTCGTCTCATCAAGTGTTCCACTGCCTTATCTAGATTCTCTATTCGTTGTAGTTTAGTTTCCAGAGTGCTCACTATCACTTCGAACACGTTGAAAATGTATTGTTCTCTGAAACAAAAGAAAGTAATGTTAAGTAATGATATCGTAATTAGGTGTGAACATTAATTAGTAGTCAAAGTTCGCCAGTTACTTAACATTGCATATAAATGTCGAGTATTGTATTTTGAGTTGCCATTTAAGATTCTTATAAATATGAATTAGATTGATTGAAACGAAATATTTAAGTAGGCACAAGTACATTTGATCATTTTTTTTTATTTGATTGCGCGCGGTTATTAATCCAAAGAAACATCGAGTGAAGTATAATTGGCCGTGATCTATTAGCACGTACTGCATGCTTGGGTCAGTGAAATTGACATACAGTAAGATTACGCAATGCGAGAAATAGAAACCTTAAAATGCGCCACTTACGTGCCCGGCACAATGGGCACGACCAGCTCGGCCATATGTTTATTATATGGGCTTACACTAATACAACGCGGAAATGATTTATATTGTGGAAATAGATTATAACAATAGTTATCTGAATTTGGAGTAGGCATTAAGGAAGCTTATTGACTAGGTACTACTCGTAATAATGAACACACTTTTTTGTCACTATTCACATCCGACAAAGCGTCTTCAATGTAAATAGTTATAAAGGTATATGGGTATCATATTAATAGAGAAGATTGTGAGCATTATTATTGATACGCATCTATGTCAGCGATATTCACATAGTTAATTAATCATTTATTTTCAACTGTCACTACAGCAGAAGATATCGCAATTTAGATATTTTATTCGTTCCCACCATGTGCTTAGTTTCGCTTCCCCTCTATATTTCTTCATAAGCTCTGCCAAAGCTGTTTTAAATTTGACTGAAAATCAAAATACATGAGAATGCATAGAACAACACGACAAGCCATGACTATTCTAATCATGCATATTATGATAGTACCTTCTATTTAGAAAATATAGCTTTTTCTACCATTATTGTTAATGCTTAAATATATATAGACAAATATTATCCTTGTACTCGACATTCCTGCGTCGACATGAAGCCAAAGGTTGCAATACCTTAACACTTGTTTTTCCTGTGTTAAAGTAAAATCATAGAGCAACATGGACGTTCAAAATATTAATGTCGCTTGCTACGAAACCTTTGCAATCTCGGTTATAATTAATCTAGGTAAGCAAGGGCTTCGCTTTGCAATCCTCAATAGTTAGTTACTCATGCCCTCAGCGGCAACAGCTTGGCGCGGTGATAGCCGTCAATTTATTAGTTCACCTAGATACAATCCATAGGAATGTCCAGTGAGCTATTGCGATACCCGAAGATATATTAAGCCGAGCGGTTGGGCAATGTGGCTGCAAGCGTTTCTGTTCTCATTATTCTGTAGTTAGGAACCCTACGCTAAACAATTAATACTTGTCACATTACTGAGACTACTTTTGTATTCAACTACATAAGTGGGTTACTATCTACTTAGGTATCTATTTCAAATTTTATATATAGACGTGGAACGATGATCTCTCAGAATCGTCAGAAACTTTGAGGTCTCCATAGGCAAGTCACGAGGAAAGACTACTGCTCTACCATAGAGTGATCATTAATAATGAGAATACCAGTCTAAAAGTAATCTCATTACCTCATTTTTTTAATTAAATATTCACCATTTAATATTTGATTAAAGCCTCGATGACACGGGGCGAGTTTACAAGTTACAGCGAGTTCGCTAGTAGCTTGTAAACTCGCCCAGTGTTATCATAGAATAATCAATCGGCTTTTTTACCATCTGCTACTCGATGATACAGAGCGAGTTTACAAGCTACTAGCGAACTGGCTGGCTTGTAGCTTGTAAACTCGCCCCGTGTCATCGAGGCCTTAGACATTGTACACGCTAATTAAGGTTTATGTTATTCGTCAAGCGGTTCTCTTACAAGTTTTTAATTACTTACATTATAAGTATTTTACATTCAGTTACGTCGAAACAAAATAAAACAAACATTTAGACTATGTTTGTTGCTGCTAATTAAGCTATGTTTACTATGCTGTGTTATTCATTAATTTAAAAATGTTATCTATTGCAATGTAAGTATTTCTCATATTACCTACAGCTGTCAATACACATTCTCTACCAGGCAACATAATTCGTATGGATATTTTTATTGCAAAAAATCAGGCCACTGAGATAATTATCGATATTTAACAATAGGCCGTAGAAGTGGTATTCAGGCTGCAAAAAATGAGTATTTATATGGGATCGACAAGTGTCGCTTAATCCGGCTGTCGATTAAGACCGGGACCTTGTGATAGTATAAACAGTGCGGTTGCCGACAAACGAGTTATAACGGCATAGTTAAATAGATCAAAGTATGTCCAACGCTATTCCATCGCTGCATCGAGTATCCGCATCGAATATGAAGAAAAATTACATAATGTCGACTATCCGTCTGCAACGCACTTGCTTTGCTTTTCAAGAAAATAAATGTGGTAACTAAGAAACACGGATTATGCTAATGATATTTGAATAATACTATTTTAAAGAAAGACATGTAAATTCTAATATGTAATTAATAAATAAAATATGTGAATTTGAAAAATGTATTTATTAGTCACTAGATATGGTAAGAGCAACTATGTTTTCTTATAAAGTTGTATTAAAACGCTGTTTTAGCGAATTGTTGTTAGCAAAGACAGCTTCAAAAAAATTAAGTTAAACATATCAATATACAACAAGGACTCAATATTTCTCAAGAATTTTGAAATCCCAAGAACATTGACGTCAGTCCTTCTGCCGGTTGTTGCTGTTTGTCAACCGTACCAGGTACCACTAACTATAGACGAATTTTAAAATCTATCAAAAGCATTTTCATGTAAAATGCTGCCAAGACGAGACCATATGTCTTGCATTGCCAAAAAGTTATCAGATCTCAGTAGAGCCAAGCTTGTAATTCTACAAGGCCTTACTTCACGAACTCTACACCTTATTCAAAATATGTTTAATAAGTCCGCTTTTGATAACATATCCCAAGATCTTTGTTTATCTGGTATAATCCAGACTTGTTATAAGGGTTCAAAAAACGATGAAGCGCTTCTAGAATAGGCAGGTAGTTTCTTTGCGATTCGCTTGGCACGTCTGTTCGTCTTGGCGGGGGCACTACTTTACCCCCAGATATGTGCCATGCATATCAGCTTATTCTAATTCTAAATGAATTTATTCAGTTTAGGCTTTTACAAACACATGTGTTAGTCAAAAGCTACGCTATCGGTTCGCAAATCTACGCCTGGAAAACATGGGAAGAAGAACCGGCAAGGAACTCAGGACAGGCTGTTTCTTTCTTCCTGTTTTATTTCTGCTGCTGCATATCAACTTATAAATAGTTCTTAAACACTATAATTTATGCCGCCTTGTTTTATCTATAGTTATTTTTTTTAATATAGTTAATATCACGTCAAAAACACAGTAAATGGTTATTTTTTCTCTAGTATTTTAACTAGGTATAGTAATATTTTTTATAGTCATATTAAACTATGGAACGATAGTGTTTAGTGAAAAGTAAATAATAATAGTTAGTAATATGTTATATTCGATGCTTGTATTTAATTACAAACTTATCATAGAAATATTTGAATTACATTATGATTGAACGATAGTTAAATTTTACTATAGTTAAAATAGTAGAGAAAACTAGAGAAAACACTAGAGTGAGTCCAACTAAATACAAATGGTGTAAACAAAACACAGAGCATTCCAAAATAATAGCATTCGTTTTTTAACCGAAGCGCTATAGTTTAAACCTATAAATATAAAATATGTTAGACTGGCTTGGCAGTTATCATACTTGTTGCTCGATTTTCCCTTTGATACTGATCTCGATAATGTTACCGCATTAGATCTAATGTCCGGTTTTTGCTTGGCCGCAATAGGTCCCATATTTACTACAGAACTAGTTACTTCATCAACATAATGTCACCGTAATATATGCCAGAGTTTTAATGTAGGCTAAAGATCAAGTGAGCAAAGTGAATAAGATAGATGAACGGGCACCAGATATAAAGATTGCCATCTTATATATCATGATTACTATCCTTAGAATGAATATTAAAAAACACGAAGATGAAAGGTTAATCTGTCTCATTAGTTGGATGGTTATGTGTTTCTATCGATGCAAAAGACGCGATCGAAAAACAAACAACTGACTAACGAAAGGCAAAGTACATCTGCGGCCACTACGGTTTTTAAGAGAGTTTTTTTTATTGTTAAAAACCTACCTATATTATCCTCATGAGATAGCATAATTTTACCCACTGCTCTGCTACTCTTCAAGAGACGAAAATAACACGATACACCAAAAATACAAAGTTAGAGACATTTGCTTAAAAATATAAAACAAAAAGAAGTTATTTATTATCTGATTGCTTAAACTTATTTGGGTTTTTATTAATACGTAAGTACACAACCCTTATGCATTTTTTGATAACTAAGTAGTAAGTTAGGTCAAATTATTTCTTTAATCAACACAGCGAACCTCGAATAAAAGTTATTTTACTTAAATGTATTGCACAAAGTAACTTAATATAAGCACACGGTTACTGAGCAGCGTAATTATGACGCGTGATTTTAAGTAAGTTATCTTTTTGGTTTTCGTCAAACGAATAGGTAATAATAGCTGTTTTGTAGAGGTTGCCTAAGTCTTTACCCAAATCTTTTCAATTTCACTAGACCGATGGTAACTGTAATATCATGCATCGCGGTATTGTATGGATCTCATGTGGTGTTTCGCACAATACTTATGTTGGGAAAATGCTAATCATAATCTGATAAGTGTGGTTAATAGATGTAAGCAGTCGTATGCACCAATTGTGTTGGCGGATGAGTGAACATCTTCATTGCATATTCCTACACATTTTTCTCTAATGAATAAGAGGATTGAATGTGACATGAATGTTGGTAAAAACTTACTGACAGTGACATTGTGGTTTTTTTTTCATATTGGACGTACATATAATTAACCTATCACCTTTTTTAAAATTTCTTAATGTTGATTGACACATTCCATTT